AATTAGCTGAGTATGGTGGTGCACACCTGTAGTCCCAGCTACTCGGGAGGCTGAGGCAAGAGAATCGCTTGAACCTGGGAGGCGGAGGCTGCAGTGAGCCTAGATCGCACCACTGTACTCCAGACTGGGTGACAGCGTGAGACTCCATTTCAAACAAACAAAAAAGAAAAATCACACAGTGCCAAGACTAGTAATTTCAAGTCTACACTAGCCCTATCCATAGCCTTTGTTGGAATAAAATATGAAAAGAGACAGTAGAAATGATACCTAAAAATAAGGACACTAGATGCTAAACAGTCCTAAAGTCAGTAATAATAACTGAAAGACAGCTATGAGATGAGTATCAACTACTATGTCCCAACATAAGCGGCTTCCATACACTATTTTACTCAAACTACCAATAATCTCAAAGCAGGTATTCTTACCAACTCCACTTAGTAGATGGGGAAAGACAGGTGGGATAATTAAATTACTTAGCCAAGACCAGATGCAGTGGCTCACACCTGTAATCCCAGCACTTAGGGAGGCCAAGGCGGGTAGATTACCTGAGGTCAGGAGTTCGAGACCAGCTTGGCCAACAAGACAAAACACTGTCTCTACTGAAAATACAAAAGTTAGCCAGTTATGGTGGCATGGGCCTGTAATTCCAGCTACTTGGGAGACCGAGGCAAGAGAATTGCTCCCAGGAGGCAGAGGTTGCAATGAGCTAAGATCATGCCACTACCCTCCAGCCTGGGCAACAGAGTGAGACTCCTTCTCAAAAAAATAATAAATTACTTAGCCAAAACCAATGAACCCAAAGTCAGACTACAAAGTCCGACTTTGAAGTCTGCATTAAACATGTTTGAACAGAGCAAAAAGAAAGCTGCAAATGGTCCTCGTTTACACAGGGTACTGTTGCCAGGAAGAGGTCACAAAGGCAATCTACTTATATCAGAGAAGGAAAAGGACAACAGCAAAACATAAAAGGCTTTAAAATGAGAACCTTTACCTTGAAAAATTAAACCCAAATATATAGCAATAACTTGATGTTGTATGTAATACCAAGTAGGTTTTAACAGCAATTATCTCATAATTTTTTGTAAAAACAAAGAATGATGCTTTAAAAGAGAATAATTTGAATTCAAAGATGAGAAAGTGCTTGATAAAAGCAAAACTTTTAATAATTTTACAAAAATAATCCTCTTTATGAACATGCTGACATCTCAGATATGAGGGGTATCATGTAGTACGGTGGAAAATTTCCTATACAACTTCATAAATGCAGGAAGTATCAGGGACTAAGATAACACAATCGCAGATGAGGGAACTTCACTCCCATCCTTCCCATACCCACCACCAATAAAGACATTTAAGAGTTCAGCAACACCAACAACGACAGTTGGGCGGATTGACACAAGAAAATGTCTAAACCTTCCATCACCTCGCAGGATAATTCTGAAAATTCATTGTGCAGATAAAACAGTTAATTTTTAAAAAATGCTTATTTTTGAACACTGCACTGAGAGTAGACCCCAAAATCCAGTTTCAAGAGTGTGAGATAAGAGGCCTACAAATCACTCTGTCCCTCACAAACTCCCTGCTCATTCTCCACATTTGCCTAGGATATTCACTCTATATGGAATATCTTTTTCCTAGCTGATTCTACCTGTTCAAATTTTATTGCCTATCTGAAGCCATTTTTGATTACTCTGTTACACGCCTCATCCGCATGCCTGTAATCCCAGCTTCTCAGGAGGCTGAGGCAGGAGAATTGCTTGAACCTGAAGCAGAGGTTGCAGTGAGCCGAGATTGCATCACTGCACACCAGCCTGGATGACAGAGTAAGACTCCGTCTCTCAAAATAAAAGGAAAAAAGGCTTCCTCTGTGAGTTAGAACACAGGACCAACATCTCTGACAATAATTAGACTGGCATGAGACTACCACATGTTATGAAGTTCTAAACTGCCTTGACATTTGTAAAGGCACTTTCACTCTTACCCTAACTCCATGAAATATCATTAGCTTGTGTGACTTGAAGCCAGCCTTTGTGACTTGAAGCCGGGATCTGGTTTTCTCTGCCCAGCCCCTCTCTGGCTTACCATGTGACCAAGGGTGAATGAATTAGCCACTCTAAGCTTCAGTTACCCTTCTGGGAAGCAAAGATATTAATACCTTACAGAGGTGTTTCAGCATGCTTCATATTGGGCATATGCTTTGAGGTCATTGGATGAAAGGTGTTTGCATTATGGCAGAGCAGGCTTATTATAGGGTCTTGAGCAGGTGTTCCTTTTTAATGAGCTTTGCTCTCTTATAACATACAATGCCCTTTGGTGCCCCATTGCCTTACTGACTGTAATTACCATTAACCTAACATTTGGATTATTGGCCCTCTCGGCTTTTTGGGAAAAAAATTAAACAGTTTTGTACTGTGTGGTAAGTTGAGGTACAAATAAGAGGACTCCAGCATCTTCCAGGGTGGTGAAAAATAGCTTCAAAAAGAAACATTAGTTGAAAAGGACCATAGAGATCAGTGAGTTCTTCAAAGCTCCTCCAAAAGATGAAAAAGAATAAAGCAAACGTCTGTGTGTATGTGAGCATGCGTGTTTTAAGGGAGAAAGTTTTCAGTAATATTTGCTTGTGACACATACTGATGATAGCCAGTAACTGAAACCCAGCCATTGTAGTGTTTTATACACAGCTGGTTTTTATTAATGATGGAATATTTATGCTTGCTGTACAATTCGTGGCTTATTTCCATGTGTATGTCAGAACTTAAATACCCCCAAAAGAAACATTAAGATAACATGAAATATAAATGTGGCCAAGCTAGGAAGGGTGGATTTGGTGGGAAGTCTCCCTTATTCTTATTGGTGTTGCATCAGACCACAATAACTGTGCCCCCCCCCCCACCCTACCAGCTTTAGGCATTGATACTGATTTTTTCCCCCTTATTTATACCCCATAGCAAACTTCATATTTCGATCTCTTTGATATGGACAAATGATCTGTTCTCCCCTTTATGATGCAGATAAAACTGATGTATGTGTTTTTTAAGAGCGTATTTTCCCTGCACATGCTTCTCATTATCCGAGAGGCCTGGACTCAATCAGTAAAGGAGCAGAGAAACCACATAATTGAAAGGAGAATGACGGTGGTGCATACTTGGAATATTTGTGGGAAGGGGATTGCTGACATCAGAAAATTTGGTGGCCTGAGTGTTAACAGCATTGAAGAGAAATCAGCTTTCTGTGTGTCTGTGTATTGAGAATTATTTTTAAGGGAATAAAAATATGGGCCAGGTTTGACATCCTTTTATGAAGTTGCCCTGGAAACTTTGATGAAGGTTGTTAAAGAATAGCTCAATTAAAACCTTCCCCATTAGGAAGCTAATTAGTACATCCCTTACTCATTTTGGTTGTTTTCAAGGGGCATGTATTTGCATTGAATTAGTGACATTTGTTCCATGTGATAGCAAACTAAGATAAAAATCACAGATGGGGAAAATTATTTATATTGCCTATTTTGAAGAAACGTAATTTCCTCTTTATTACATTAAGATTTTCAGTTCAGATTTTTGTTTTACTGTATTTATATACAATGATCACATTTTAGTGTGGTAGCCAGTTTTGCTTTCTGGATCATGGGCTATAAACCAAAGCTTACTTGAATTAGGGAAATAGAACATATGACAATAAACCATTTTATTAAGGTAAGATTTGATTTTTTTTTCTACAGTTCGTTTCTCTTTGGTCTCTGTGTGTGCCTGAGACAGATAGTGGGGGAGGCAGATAGTTTTTTGTTTGTTTGTTTGTTTTTTGTTTTTCTTTTTTTTAAAGCAGACACTTTTTGGAGCTAAGAAAATTTTGATGACCCCCTTTACTCCCAGGAACATTCTGTCTGCCTCAGGCTGCCAGTTGGGCTTTTGTTAGGTGAATATGATGAATTTTCTGACTTGGTGCTTTCTGTGACCAGGCTAAGCAGTTCTCCCTTGGAAGCCTAAAGGAGAGAGGTTATGGTGAGAATAGGAGTGCAAGATTTCTCGTAGGTTCTTTTTGCTGTACTCCATCTTTTTTTTTTGGGGGGGTACTTCTGAGATTTCAGGACTGTTTGCAGTAGAGTCAATGCTCTGTAGCTAAATATAAAATGTGGGTCTGTTGTGGCCCTCCTTTCTCCCCATCACTTCAGGAGATGGTTATTCTGTACCTAGGTTCCCTGATGCTGTGCCCATGGCATAGATGTATGCCTGCAATAGTTTGTGCAAGTGAGAAAGTTAGCTGAGTTACATGATTTGTGATTTAACTGATCTCACCCTAGTCCTTCCTGGGAAGGCACAGTTTAGATGCAGTTCTGCCATGGCACCTCAGGCAAGGCAGGTTCCCTGTGCTTGCAAGGCAACAGCAGGAGGAGGAGGGGCTGCCTTCTGCCTTCGGAGAATGACTCAAGCCCTTTGGTATGAAGATATGAAATACTGGCTCCTGTCCATGCACCTGCTGGATGCCACACCTGCAGTCAGCACCTGAGCCGCACTCAGACACAAAAACCAGACTGAAGGCAGATGAGGCTCCCTTCAAAAGGGGTATAGCAAAACAGGGAGCTCCCAATTATGTGAGCAGAGCCCCACTGGGAATTAAGTTTAGTCATCCCAGTGTTGGCATGGGGAAACATCTTAGATTATTATTATTATTATTATTTTTTTGTTAAGATTATTTTCTTTCAGATGCAGCTCACTCACTTAGGTATGACACTGTTGGAGTGCTGCGGGAGTTTGCTCTTTCCTGATGAATTTCTCTTGTGAACTGTCCTCCTAAAAACCAGAGAGGCAATTCTGTGGAGGGTTGTGTTTTGAACTAAGCACACAGCAGGAAATCATAAGACCTAGGTTTCGATCCTGGCCCTAACAGTGGGCAACAGTGAAATTCTGGTCCAATTAGTTATGATTAGCTATTTGTTCTGGACTTGAGCTTCCCTCTCCAGTTCTAAAATGGAATTAATCACATCTACCTTTATTTCCCCACAGAGCTGCTGAGAAGGGCAAATAAGATAGCAGAAGTGAAAGAGCTTTTGTCTCCTTAGAAGGAAGGCTGAGAAACTAAAGGTAATATTATTATTATTCCGTGTCTTTCTTTGTTTTCTCCTTCTGCTGTGGCCTCTAGCAAAGTTTTGGGGAAGTTATCATTCACTCAATATGCAACTATTAAGCACATTTTATGTACCAGTTAATGTTTTAGGTATTGGGATGGATACAATGAAAAATCACGCACCCAGCCCATGCCCTCTAAGATCTTACAGTCTAGCAACTTCCATTTCCATTTCTGGCTCAACCCGTAACAGTGATTGCTACCTGGGCACTCAGAAGCTTAAAAGGTGAGAATTAACTTCTTTTTTTCTCTCTGCACTACATCTGGGGATTTCTGTCCCTGGAGCAGTACATTCCAAGGTCTAGATTGGAGATATATGGGAGGAAAGGCCATAGGGACAAATAAAGGAATTTCTTTCCCTCCCACATTTGCAAAGTACCTAACCCTTGAATGATCATTTTTTTCCAGAAGTCCATGTTAAGTTTCATTTTGAGTTCTGTGGTGTTCCTAATCAATATGGTCCAGCACACTCTTATGACCTTAGCTGTTATCCTTATGCTAATGACTGCCAAAGATATATCTCAACCTATCTTTGATGTCAAGTTGGTCATCACATTCCATGTCTTCTGTTCAGCTCGTAGGTTTTTGACTTTTCCTCCTCTTGGAAGCTTTTTCAGGTAGCCTGGGGTTTTTGGCAGAGCTCTCTGTGTTGCTGGAGTTATCAGCTCATACTTCTGTTCTCCCGTTGAATTGTGCCTCCTCTGCTTGACTGGGAGATCCTCAAGGACTGGGATCTTTTTTGTTGTTGTTGTTTGTTTGTTTGTTTGTTTTTTTGAGACAGAGTCTTGCTCTGTCACCCAGGCTGGAGTGCAGTGGCGTGATCTCGGCTTACTGCAACCTCTGCCTCCCGGGTTCAAGCGATTCTCTTGCCTCAGCCTCCCGAGTAGCTGGGATTATAAGAACCCACTACTGCGCTTGTCTAATTTTTGTAGTTTTAGGAGAGAGGGGGTTTCACCATCTTGGCCAGGCTGGTCTCAAACTCCTAATCTCATGATCCACCTGTGTTGGCCTCCCAAAGTGCCAGGATCATAGGTGTGAGTGAGCCACTGTACCCGGCCGGGCTCTGCTTTATTTTTTTAAATTTATTTTTTGCCACCCTAGGGCTTACCTAGTACAGTGTCTGGCTACAGTAAGTGCTTAGTAAATGTTTGTGGAAAATATGCTGTGATAAGTGTCATGATAGAGAATTCATTTTCCATATTGAGCAAAGTTGAGGTCAGGAATAGATGGAGAGGGATTAGGGAAAAACCTTCAAAGAGAAGGTGGAAAGCAGAACTGCCTTATTTTGAGAGTTCTGGCTAAGAAGTCAAGAAAAGAATGCCTGCTCTGTCCACTCTTGCTAAACCAGGGGCATCTCTGGACTGTTGCCTCCCCTGCTTTAGGATTGGATGACTTTTATGGTCAGGTCTGCAAATAAACCTGTGTATAATACATTGACCATTTAAGACAGGTGTCACTTAGTCATATAATATTAAACAGAGCTAACCTTAAATGTGCCACCTTAACTGAGGCTGAAAATAGAGCTACACACACAGGCTCATTGATCGTGCCTGCTTAGTTCTATACAGCAAAATGTTCCTTAAGATATATTGAAGATTGGGATCTAAAAACTGACGAATTCAATTCTCAGAATGTAAGCAGGTTGGGTCATAAGAACTGAATGTCTTCAAGCTGACTGTCAGATCTTTCCAAGGGCAAAAATGAAAGATGATATAAGCTATTACAGGCCATGAACCTGTTCTCACCCACCTGATGCTTTTACTAATTAGCTTCTTGGCTGGGTGGCAATTTGGGGCAAGTGCACGCAAGCTGGATTCACAGGGGAGCCTGCATTCCACTCTGCCATTTTGCAAGCCACTGGGATACTACACTGCTTCTCTTGGCTTCTTTCCCTCCCAGGAGCCCTGCTCTGCCCTGGTGGAAAAATGAGAGCAGGAGAAATTTTCATTAAATGAGGGAGGGATTTCATGGGACTGTGGTGTTTTGCTAATTTTATTTTTTAGTGGGTTGTCTAAAAACACTTATGCTTCTTGACCCATCAGTTTCGCTTCTGGGATTCTATCACAGAGAAACAATCTACAATATTGAAAAAGGTTAAATCACAAAGATGTTTTTGTAACATTTTTTAGACTAGCATAAAATTGGAAGCAATTTATATATCTTAATAATTGAAGAATGGGTAAGTGACTGCTGATATACTTGTTTAATGCACTATTATGCAGCCATTACAATGTTATGAAGTTATGCCACAACATGGAAAAAGTATTTATGACGAAGTGAAATGCAGGATCCAAAATTACATCTTATTAATAATTCATTGCTTTGTAAAAATACAAATACACATAGGAAAACTAAAGGAAATATAATGTTAACAATGTTTAAGTTGAGGTGCTGGGATTATAAGTGATTTTTTTCTTTATTAAAATATATGCATGCTGTGCTTATATTACTTTTAAGATAAAATATAAGTAGATATGAAAATGGTTGGTCTGCCATTGGAGGTTACAGATTGGTAAAGCAGGCAGCTTCTAGGTATATTCTTAAACTTTTCTCATTTTAGGCTCAATCTGATTACAGGGTTCCTTTATACTTTTCCTGAGACAATAAGGAAGGGGATGTGATGACATTGTCTACTCCTCTTTTGGAATGGATGCTTGTGCTGGGGGATAGAGGGAGGTGGCAGCCGGATTCTCCTTGCTACCCAGTATATATGTCACTGGTCACATGCACTTGAGGGTTGATCACATTTGTTGCCTATAAACATGTTCAAGGTAATTGCTTCAGAACAAAGCAAAGTCAAACTGGGACCAAAAACAACCAAGACCTTGAGTTATCATCTCAGAAACGGATCTCTTACACTGATCTCCAGTAAGATTTGCAAATGCCAAGGCTTTGCTGTGGTTCTTAAAATAATTTTTCAACCTAATCTAATAGGTTGGTGCAAAAATAATTGCGTTTTTTGCAATAGAGTATATTAAGCGTTCTTGCATTGCTGTAAAGAAATACCTGAGACCGGGTAATTTATAAAGAAAAAAGTTTTAATTGGCTCACAGTTCTGCAGGCTTTATGGGAAACATGGTGTGAACATCTACTTGGCTTCACAGGCAAGGGCCTCGGGAAGCTTGCAATCACGGCAGAAAGTGATGGGGGAGCAAGCATATCACATGGCAAAAGCAAGAGCAAGAGACAACAGGGGAAGGTGCCACACAGTTTTAAACTACCAGATCTTGTGAGAACTCACTATCAGAACAGCACCAAGAAGTTCTGCCTCCATGATCCAATCACCTCTCACCAAACCACACAATTCAACATGAGATTTGGGCAGGGACACACATCCAGGCTATCCCACAGAGTAGCAAAGAAGAGTTGGGGCTGACTCTCCTTTTAAGCCTTTTCTTAAACTCGTGCTAGAGTTAAGTAAGAGCAAACGCCAAGATGGTATGATGTTGAAAAGACCTGGAATAGGGTCCCTGGAAACATCCATCCGTGGAGGTTCATGTTGCTGTTCAATCAATCTCACATCTTAGCCTAAAAAGAGAATTTGCAAAGCCCTTCTATAATACTTCTAGCTAAACACTTCCCTCATACCTCCTTGAATTTTCCTTCCTTTCATTAACGTTTTACTTCCAATGGAACTGGAAAAGCAGTGGTAGCATTAAGGCAGGTTTATAGCCTTTTAAAACCAGGGTCAATTCTATGTAATAAATAGTTATTAAGCATCTTCTTTGTACAAGCAAATAATGCTAGATAATATGTTGTAGTGGAAGGGCTCTTGTCCTAGGTGTTATAAAGACTTTCGTTTTGGTACTGGCTCTCTCTCTCTTATCCCTTAGAGGCCTTGGCATCTTCATCTATAGAAGAAGAGGGTGGGACCACTAGTTGGTCTCCCAAAAGCCTTTCCAGTTCTGGCTTTTAGTGATCTAAGGACCCCTGTGTAGTAGACTGAGTTGCAAATAAAGGTTTCTTAAAAAAAAAACCTTTCTTCATAAAATTGCTGTACACTTCTAAAAAAAAAAAAAGGCTACTTAAAAATAATAATTATCGTAATAGCTTGCTTTTATTGAGGCCTTACTATGTGCCAGGCTCCATGCTTAGCACTTTAAATGGATTAATTCCCTTAGTGTTTATAATAATCCTATGAAGTATGAGCACCATCATCCCTATTTTGCAGATGATGAAATTGACACTTAATTCATCAGGAATTGATGGGAGATCAAGAGACATGTACAAGGCCTGTTAGTAAGCCATAGATCCAGGATTTAAACTTGGGCAGTGCGATTCTAGGCCCAGACTCTGTACCATGGTGCTTATGATGCCTACCCATTACCTGTTGAAAGTTTAGGGATAACCTGCAAAAGGACCATTGTTTTTCACATCCCAAATGAGATTAATTGGTATCTTGGGTTGCAAGACTGTTGGGAAAGGTATTCTCTAGGGTACTTTGGCTACAATATGGACCAACCTGAGAGAACATAAGAATTTACTGGGGCCTCTCACTTTTTGTGAGAGGTTTTGTGTGTGTGTGTGTGTTTGTGTGTGTGTGTTTGTGTGTGTTTGCACAAATATATACACATAGGTACAGGAAAAACTTTGAACTGGCCCCTTTCCATTTATCTGGGAGTCAAATTGGATGAAACAAGTTGACCAAGATTTGGCAGAGAAACAGGTTTCTTAGACTTAGATTCTTCATCCTGGTTGGAAGAATGAGAGGTAGGGGCAGAATGTGGGAGGGTTTAGAAGAGGGAATAAAAAGAAGATATTATAGATATATTGCACAATTTATTTGAAGGGTGGGAATTTGGTCTGTCCTGACCACCTAGTAATGTTGATTTTCTGGGACTTGTCTTGGGAAACATCAGGGCTCTCATTAACATGTTTTGGCTCAACCTCCCAGGTGTATTGGGAGAGGCCAATGACTGCAAATGGAGTAAGAATTTAGCTTGGCCTTGCTTCCCTGTTGTTGTTATAGAAGAGTCAATTATATAGATTCGAATTGCATTTTAAAAGACAGAACCACAGTTTTTCTTTTTTTTTTTTTTCTATCAAATATTCTCAGAGACATTCTGTGTGCCCAGGAGAAACAAGGTTATTTTATTGATTGAAGATGGTGTCAGACCCCTGGCAGTGGCATAATTAAAGCTATGGGGAAATTAAAGGTTACAGAGTTCATACTGTTTTAGTTCTTGTGCATGAAACAAGGAGCCTTTTCCTTTCCTTCTCAAATAAATAAATGGAGTAGTGTTTTCCTCATTATGTGATTCTTGACATGTAGATGAACGTAAGTTCTAAGAAAAAAATAATAAACTGGAGAGGACTCGGCAAAGCTTTTATCTTAGGCTGATTTCTTTTTCTCTTTCAAACAGAAACAAAGATGGCAGGAGGGGTGTGAGGGTAGGGGAACGATCTGTGTTCAGTTAACATAAAGTGATTTGGGTTTTCAAAAGGATATGGAGGGGCCGAGTGTGGTATCTGACGCCTGTAATCCCAGCACTTTGGGAGGCCGAGGTGGGCAGATCACCTGAGGTCAGGAGTTCAAGACCAGCCTGGCCAATATGGTGAAACCCTGCCTCTACTAAAAATATGAAAATTAGCCAGACATGGTGACACACATCTGTAATCCTGGCTACATGGGAGGCTGAAGCAGAAGAATCACTTGAACCTGGGAGGCAGAGGTTGCAGTGAGCCGAGATCCCGCCACTGCACTCCAGCCTGGGCAACAGAGCAAGACTCGTCTCAAAAATGAATGAATGAATGAATAAATAAATAAATAAATAAATGATACAGAGGACAAAATTGAGAGAAGAGAGTAAGATCTTGCACAAGTAAAGTTTTGTCAATGAGGAGCTGAATATCAGGAGAAAGCCAGTAATATCAGCATGAAGATCTAAATAGTACTGGAAAAGAATCATATGGTAGTTTCTCTCCAGGGGCTCAAGTTTAAATGCCCTGGGCTGTTTTCTGGTGTTTCAGTTGGAATAAAAGGATGAATGTTTTGTTCAGAATTGGACAATAGAAGCATGCTGGTTATTTACCATAGCTCTGTTAACAGTCCAGCTTTGATTCCTATTAGTAGTTGTTCCTCTGCTTCGAAATTAGGGGAGATACCCTAAAATAATTACCTTGCAGATTGGAGATGATTTTGCTTTTGATCATGATTACATGTTGTGTCAAAACAAGATGGAAAGACACATTTCCATGTTTGTTCACTCTATATCTGTTCACTTTATTTTTGGCAACATTGCAAGGAAATAATGTTAAATTAATCACTGTGTGGCTTTGTGGATTTTTTTTAAACTTAAATGTTTTGAACACACTCTTAAAATACAGAGATGTTTGTGTACTTCTTTTGCATTGCTTTCCTCCTCACGTGGAGTCACTGGTGTGGATTAAGCCTTTCTTTTAAGTGATATGGATGAATCATAGATAGGCCAGGACAGAAGATAGGAATGTGGTTCATGTGCATATCACTTAACTCAAACTGCTGGGTCTTAGAGTCATTTTGATTAGGCTGGCAGGGCTTTGCAGAGAGTCCAAGCAGAAATTAGACATAAGGACAATCTCAAATCCAGGTTTATTAGGCATTTACATCTAGTCTATATAATGTACCTCTGTGAGTTTTCTTTGCTGAGACACTGGGGCAATGGAAATGCCAAGAAAGCAATTGGAGGCATCTTCTGCTTGGAGAAGGGTTGCACTCTGTTGAGGAGGGCAGTCTACTTTCCTACTCCAAGAATGGATGGACCATTGATCAAGATAATCAGAGTGTAAGCTCCATGAGGGCAGGAATTATACTTTATGTGTCTTTGTAGCCCTCATTGTGTCTAGCATGAAGCTGACAAATGTGTGGAATAGTCGATATGCAATAAATA